GATTCGAACAGTCTCACAGGAGGCATCCCAGCTTCCTTGGGGAACATCTCATCACTTAATATACTTTCTATGCGGTTTAACAAGTTGGTGGGAATTGTTCCACGTGATTTAGGCAGATTGAAAGGCTTGACATATTTCTCTATATCTGCTAATAATCTGTTTGGAACCATCCCTTTATCCCTTTACAATATGTCCTCCCTTGAATATTTCTTCATTTCATTAAACCAATTTACTGGCACTCTTCCTTCCAACATTGGCCAGAAGCTCTATAATCTCCGAAAGTTCAGTATTGGTACTAATCAATTTTCTGGGATAATCCCAGATTCCTTTTCCAATGCGTCTCGACTGGAAGTTATTCAACCTGTAGCTTTGATTTCATAACTTCTTTAACCAACTGCAGCAACCTAAGATTGTTAGACTTCAGTTACAACTCTTTTGGAGGTGTTTTACCCAAATCTATAGCCAATTTGTCAACCCAACTCACAGACCTTTACCTTGGATTGAATCAAATATCTGGGAATATTCCTGCAACACTAGAAAATCTTGTCAACTTAATAATTTTGAGCATGGCAAATAATCTCTTGAATGGGGTCATTCCACCCTCTCTGGGAAAGTTGACAAAATTGCAAGTGTTGGAGTTGGGATCAAACACATTATCAGGAAATATTCCTTCATTTATAGGAAACCTCACTCAAATAAACGAACTCTTTTTAGAGCATAACAAGTTACAAGGAAGTATTCCTGCAAATATTGCCGGCCACCAATATCTGCAACATCTCGACTTTTCTTACAATGGCTTGAGTGGTGCTATCCCCAAAGAGGTCTTTAGTCTTTCCTCCTCTGTCATACTAGACCTCTCAAAAAACTCATTTACTGGAAGCCTACCTGAGGAAGTGGGCAATCTAGAAAGTGTCAGTGCGCTCGACCTCTCCGAAAACAATCTCACCGGTGAAATCCCAAAAACCATTGAAGGTTGTGAGAGTCTAGAATCCCTTTCCCTAAGTGGGAATTCCTTTCAAGGAACCTTGCCTTCTACTTTGGCATCTCTAAGAGGTCTTCAGTACTTGGATCTTTCGAGGAATAACTTTACAGGACCAATTCCAAAGGATTTAGAGAAACTTACTGCATTGTTGAGTTTGGATCTTTCTTTCAATGATCTCGACGGAGAAGTGCCAAGAACAGGTGTTTTCCAGAACATAAGTGCAATATCAATAGCTGGAAATAATAAACTTTGCGGTGGTGTACCTGAACTGCAGCTTCCAGCTTGTCCAATAAAAGAATCCAAAAGGAGAAAAATCAACGGTCGAAAACTAACAATCACCACGGTTTGTGTAGGAGTGGTTCTCCTTCTATTCTCGGTTTTGGCCATTTACTATCGGAGGAGGATAAGGAAATTGTCTCCTACACTCTCTACAATCAATTTTCTTTCAAAGGTTTCATGCAGAAGTCTTTATTAGGTAACCAATGGATTCTCCCCAAACATATTGATTAGAACAGGTAGCTTCGGGTCTGTATATAAAGGAATTCTTGGTCAAGAAGAAAATCCCGTTGCAATAAAGGTCCTCAATCTCCAACAGAAAGGAGCTTCCAAGAGTTTCATTGCGGAATGTAATGCACTAAGAAATATCCGTCACAGAAATCTTGTGAAGATATTGACATGTTGCTCTAGCATGGATTATAATGGCAATGAATTCAAGGCTTTGATCTTTCAGTACATGTCAAACGGAAGCCTAGAGAGGTGGCTCAATCCGGTGACGTCCAATGATGAAACTCAGTCCACGAGTTTAAGCCTAACTCAACGACTAAATATTGCCATCGATGTGGCTTCTGCAGTTTGTTATCTTCATCATCATTGCGACCAACCGATCATCCATTGTGACCTGAAGCCTAGCAACGTGCTTCTTGATGAGGAAATGATTGCCCATGTAAGTGATTTCGGAATAGCAAGGTTGATCTCAGACGACATTAACTCCTCTGAAAGTCAAACTAGCACAATTGGAATAAAGGGAACCATTGGCTACGCCCCTCCAGGTACATAACATCATTGAAATGTTAATTAGCTTAATTTTATTAATTTTCTAAACTTTTGTTGTTGACTAAGAAATACAGAAGTCATAATCTTGTACATTTGCCTTTTGTTTCACTTTTTTATCAAGTAACTGCCCTCCTTTATTTATTTATACATGTGTGGTGGTGCGTCATTGATGAACAATGCTCCCATTCAATAATATTTTTGTATTGATTATATTGTGATTGGTTAAATTTAATACGTCTAAATAAAAAAATTTATTATTTTTTTTTTATGAGTTACAGAGTATGCCATGGGTGGTGAGCCATCAAGAGAGGGAGATGCGTATAGCTATGGAATCCTCATATTGGAGTTGTTCACGAGAAGGAGACCTACTGATAAAATGTTCAAAGACAATTTCAATCTTCATAATTTTGTTAAGATGGCATTACCAGAGAAAGTGGTGCAAGTTGTGGACCCTACTCTTGTTCCTCGAGAAGTAGAAGAAACAACAAGAAGAAGAGGAGAAGAAGAAAGAAACTGTAATAAGAAGTGCTTGGTTTCAATCTTGGACATCGGACTTGCCTGTTCAGAAGACTCGCCAAATGAAAGAATGAACATGGAAGATGTGATCATGAGGCTACAACGCATTAGAAATGCTTTCATTGGTGAAAGAAACATCTAAGGACATATTTGGTAATGTTTATGTCTTCTGTTTTTCTTTCTAATGACATTTTGTTTTCTAGATGATTATTAATCCAAAAGGGTAATTATGATGACATTTTTTTTCATACTATGTTATAGCTTTTACTCCAAATTGAGAAACAATCTAACTAGTGTCTTACTGCAGGAGCTTGAAGCTTTCTGGAAGAGAATCAGATGGTGAAGACTTTCTTTTGTGTGCCTGTGTTTAGGATAGAGTTGGGCCATCTAAACTTGTTGTACCAACTCTCGTATGATTAATAATTGCTCTGTTTTACTCTGTGTTGACATGCTAATTACCAAATAAATGTCTGTCGCAAAAGCACATATTCCATGTCTAAATTTTACTGAAGCAGCTGAACTTCACTTTACTATGTAGTCACCGTAGACTTTTTTTAGTATGGCCCTATCCCCATGTAGTTTTTATTATGTAATGTGTATATAGTTTTTCAAAAGTTCTATACTTATACCACATATGTGTAGAGTACAATTTTAATCGTTGGATTTGTGTTAAAAATCACATCAAAATAATAACAATAAAAAATATGCATAACAGAAAGGAGAGAAAAAAGAAGTTTAAAAAATAGAACGTCTTGATTATGAGAAGATTCTCTTTTGTTGTGCACTATTTATCCTTTTTTCCAGTTTTTTCTTTTATGAGGGAGATAATTTAAATACTACAACCCAATGTGAAATCGTACGTGTGTAATTTTACCACTAATATATATTGTAACGACTCGGGAGTCTCGTTACTTATATCTATGTGCAATAAAAAGGCACTATACACTTGTGTATTTGACATACACTTTAAAGATAAAGTCGAGTACTTGTTTTCCCTCCGTCTATTTAATTAGAGCAAAAAAAGCTATATAATTTCATAAGATTATATCTCCACTCTCTCGTAAAACGTGAATCCGACCTATAATTTGAGGACCCACTTTTTTTGAGAATGTGACAATTTAGCCTCGTAGGGACAAATAAGATTGCTCGTTTTGTTTATGGAAGTAAATAAAAGACACCAACTTTTTTTTGTTTGCACTCTAGTCTTGAGTCATTTCAAGGGAAGAGTGTTTACAATTGAAGTTTTACATTTTTTTTTTCTTTTTACCTTATAATAATAGAAATCTGAGTGTAGGGCCAGAAGTTCATAAAAATCATCGGAAAGTTGACGTCTATATAATTTTCATGTGTATCATGTGAATGAAATTAATTTTTTTGATAAATAAAGATAGAGAATACTAGGTTGGCATCTACTAAACTTGTTATTCAATTATGTCTAGCTCTCCCACTTTATTTAACTTGAAAAATTACAATATCTGAAAGATAAAATAAAACAAGACATGAAGTCAAAAGGTGATATATATATATATATATATATACCTGAAACATAAACATCTCATTCCGTCCTCTGTGGGAAAGTTGACAAAATTGCAAGTGTTGGATTTGGGAACATACATATTATGAGGAAATATCCCTTCATCCATAGGAAACCTCACTCAATTATACGAATTTTCTCTAACGCGCAATAAGTTAGTAGAAAGTATTCCTGCAAATATTCCGGATACTAGAGGGTACCAAAATAATTTTATCCATATAGATGTGTGCGTATTTGTCTATTGCAACTTTCTTCATTATGTATTTATTCATCAAAATTAATCCCCAATAATAGCCTCACACACGAAATCTCACCAATGAAGAATAATTTTTAGAGATTGTACACAGGCTTACTAACTAGACACTCACCTGTGGAACTGAACTCCATATGGTATTTTGATCTTTAGGCTAAAGGTTTTCTAGATCGATCTTTTTTTATTTTTTTATTTTTAAGAAACACACAAGAATAAATAAATAAGCATTCATGTATTTCTATTGGCTACAGCAGTTTCTCAAATACTGGAATCACGTATAAAGTTTTCTTAAGTTTACTTGATTTCAGAGTTAACAGTGCATCCCTACTTAAGCTTTAAAGGTGTGTTTGGAGGATCATGGGTACCCTGATTTGTGTTCAAACAATATTTTTTGTCACAAAAAATTTTCAATTTAAAAATTCTCCTATTGTATTTTCACTCAAAAAATTTGAATTCTAATTCAAACTACGTTAAAAGTTTACTTGGGTAATTCCGTCCAATAGTAATGCAGTGCCGTAAAAGTTGGTTTTCATGTTGGATGGAAGAAAAATCAACGTACTCAGTTTTGTCATATATATGGAGGCTTTAAAACATCTTATTCTGCCATCAATTTGCGATTCAAGCAATCAGTTGCCAGCAAAAATTCACTCATTACCACCAAAATGAACAATATTCATCACAATCTCAGTTCTTCATCTTCTTTCTGGTCCATTTTCCTCCATGTCATTATTCTTTATTCCGTCACCCTTTTGCAGCCTACTACAAACACTCTTGTCACTGCATTAGGCAGCAATGAAACTGATAAGTTGGGTTTGCTCAAGTTCAAGGAATCGGTGGATGATCCGAACGGCGTCCTCAACTCGTGGAATGACTCCGTCCACTTCTGCAACTGGCATGGAATTTCATGCGGCAAGAGGCATCAGAGGATCACTGTGACGCCCTCCTATGAGGCCGCCACTGTAACTTAAACTTTTTAACTTACTACAAACACTCTTGTCACTGCATTAGGCAGCAATGAAACTGATAAGTTGGGTTTGCTCAAGTTCAAGGAATCGGTGGATGATCCGAACGGCGTCCTCAACTCGTGGAATGACTCCGTCCACTTCTGCAACTGGCATGGAATTTCATGCGGCAAGAGGCATCAGAGGATCACAGGCTTGAACTTGGAGGGCTCCAACTTGCGAGGAACTATCTCGCCTTACGTAGGCAACCTTAGCTTTCTAAGGCTCTTTAATCTCGGAAACAACATTTTCTCCGACGAAATCCCAGCACAAGTTGGTCGTTTGTTGCGGTTGCAACGTCTCAATCTCAGCCACAACATGTTGGAAGGTAATATCCCATTCAACTTGAGCTATTGTTTGGACCTCAGAATATTAAGTCTCAGAAATAACAATCTTACTGGAATGATTCCGATAGAGCTTGGCTCTTTGACAAAGCTCGTGGAACTTAATCTTGATTCGAACAGTCTCACAGGAGGCATTCCAGCTTCCTTGGGGAACATCTCATCACTTAATATACTTTCTATGCGGTTTAACAAGTTGGTGGGAATTGTTCCACGTGATTTAGGCAGATTGAAAGGCTTGACATATTTCTCTATATCTGCTAATAATCTGTTTGGAACGATCCCTTTATCCCTTTACAATATGTCCTCCCTTGAATATTTCTTTATTCCATTTAACAAATTTACTGGCACTCTCCCTTCTAACATTGGCCAGAAACTCTATAATCTCCGAAGGTTCGTTGTTGGTGGTAATCAATTTTCTGGAATAATCCCAGATTCCTTATCCAATGCGTCTCGGCTTCAAGTACTTGACATTTCTGAGAATAAATTTGTTGGCCAAGTTCCATCAAGTTTGGGAAAACTTCTAGATCTTCAGTTGCTCGGTTTGAATAATAATTATTTAGGAAGTTATTCAACCTGTAGCTTTGATTTCATAACTTCTTTAACCAACTGCAGCAACCTAAGATTGTTAGACTTCAGTTACAACTCTTTTGGAGGTGTTTTACCCAAATCTATAGCCAATTTGTCAACCCAACTCACAGACCTTTACCTTGGATTGAATCAAATATCTGGGAATATTCCTGCAACACTAGAAAATCTTGTCAACTTAATAATTTTGAGCATGGCAAATAATCTCTTGAATGGGGTCATTCCACCCTCTCTGGGAAAGTTGACAAAATTACCCAAATCTATAGCCAATTTGTCAACCCAACTCACAGACCTTTACCTTGGATTGAATCAAATATCTGGGAATATTCCTGCAACACTAGAAAATCTTGTCAACTTAATAATTTTGAGCATGGCAAATAATCTCTTGAATGGGGTCATTCCACCCTCTCTGGGAAAGTTGACAAAATTGCAAGTGTTGGAGTTGGGATCAAACACATTATCAGGAAATATTCCTTCATCTATAGGAAACCTAACTCAAATATACGAACTCACTTTAGAGCATAACAAGTTACAAGGAAGTATTCCTGCAAATATTGCAGGCCACCAATATCTGCAACATCTCGACTTTTCTTACAATGGCTTGAGTGGTGCTATCCCCAAAGAAGTTTTTAGTTTTTCCTCCTTTATCCAACTAGACCTCTCAAAAAACTCATTTACTGGAAGCCTACCTGTGGAAGTGGGCAATCTAAAAAGCGTAGGCCTGCTCGACCTCTCCGAAAACAATCTCACTGGTGAAATCCCAAAAACCATTCAAGGTTGTGAGAGTCTAGAATTCCTTTACCTGAGTGGGAATTCCTTTCAAGGCACTTTGCCTTCTACTTTGGCATCTCTAAGAGGTCTTCAGTGTTTGGATCTTTCGAGGAATAATTTTACAGGACCAATTCCAAAGGATATGGAGAAACTTACTGCATTGTGGAGCTTGAATCTTTCTTTCAATGATCTGGAGGGAGAAGTACCGAAAACAGGTGTTTTCCAGAACATAAGTGCAATATCAATAGTTGGAAATACTAAACTTTGTGGTGGTGTTCCTGAGCTGCAGCTTCCAGCATGTCCAATCAAAGAATCCAAAAGGAGAAAAATCAAGGGTCGAAAACTAACAATCGCCATGGTTTGTATAGCAGTGGTTCTCCTTCTATTCTCGGTTTTGGCCATTTACTATCGGAGGAGGATAAGGAAATTGTCTCCTACACTCTCAACAATCGATTTTCTTTCAAAGGTTTCGTACAGAAGTCTTTATGTGTAATGACTGAGAAAATTCCAGACTTTAAATAATACAATTTATTTATTTAAGCCAAGGATTTTCCTAGAAAATATTATGTGACTGAAGGATTTATGGAATCAATATATGTATTCCTAAATTCTGTAGCAGATTTCATGTTAAGTTCATGTTTTCGATCAAGTAAATTCGATCGATAAATTCTTGCCGTACTTTAAGGCGGAATAATTTTCAGTACAAGTATAGTTTGAGAATCTTAATTTCAAGAATCTCCAAACACAGCATGATGTTAGCAGCGTAAAAAAAAATGCACTGACATTTTTAAAGAAGAGAAAATCCTTAATTGCCAGACAGCTAGGTTAAAGTCACAAGATAGATACATATAGTAGAAGGGTACAATGTGAGCTAAGGAGTTGACACCGTCAGAAATAATGTCACTCCCGGGATATAAAGCAGAAAAGTTAAATTTAGAAATAAATAAATCTGAGGGACTTGCATTTATAAGCCATTACTATCCACCCTGTCCTGAGCCGGAGCTAACCATGGGAATTAGCAATCACTCTGATAATGACTTCCTCACTGTGCTTCTACAAGACCACATTGGAGGCCTCCAAGTCTTGCATGACAATCAGTGGTACGATGTTCCACCGGTTCCCGGAGCTTTAGTGGTCAACATTGGAGATCTTCTGCAGGCAAGTATTTTTCTTTGATTTGGTTGGACTATGAACTTGTTAATTTGTGTTCTTTAGAAAGTAGGAGAACAACATTCTTTTTCGTTTTTGGACAAAGATAGTTTTTACATATCATTTCTTTTAATAAAATAAGAACGGGATCAATGGAACCAATGTGCCTATTGTTCAAATAGTCTATATAATAACCTGGGCCCACCATTGAAGCGTAAAGAGTTTAACCCAATTCTACTTAGAGAGGATGGGGCCGGTTTTAGTAATCATACTACCACAAGTCCAACACCCCACAACCCATTGGCCGAGTAGGATTTCTGATTCAAGCTACCGAGTATCAAACCTGAACGCATCCTGAGAAGAGAAGAAAGAAAGGCATCTTTATCGCTGCACCACCCTACAAGTGGTAGTTTCTATGTATCAGTTTAGATTAAGGAATCCTTTTCTCCTTTGCATCTCCACAGACGATTTTGTGGCATTTATTATAATGGTTTTTAATCAACCATAACTTTTCATATCAATTTTAGAGCCCACAAATTGTTAAACATGAACACAAGCACAGTTTTATATGAGAGCTTGGTACTGGTTATCAAGATTCACATGTTACATTTTCTTTGTGGGATTGAAATGTTGCAGCTTATATCGAACGACAAGTTTAAAAGCGTAGAACACAGAGTGCTGGCGAACCATGTAGGACCAAGAATATCAGTGGCATGCTTTTTCAGCACCAGTTTTCAGCCATCTTCAAGACTGTACGGACCAATTAAGGAGCTATTGTCAGAAGACAATCCTCCAATCTACAGAGAAACGACAGTTCATGAATATGTTTCGTACCTTGCAACACACGGCATCGATAGTCCCCTACAACGTTTTAGGCTGTGAGCTTTGGCTCATGTTTCATGCCATTGATCCAAATTATCCCTTACAGCACTTAATTAGCTCCAATTATTTGACTGTAATTTGGAGGAACATCAGTTTTGCTTCATGTTTGGAAATTCAAGCAGCCTAGTTTGGAACAGAATAATGCAATACGTATTTTGATTGGGGGAAAACACTAGTAACAACCACCTGATTTGATTTCTATTGGCGGTTTCTAATCTTGCAAAGCCAACTTTTTTTTTTAATTTTTAATTTTTTAAATTGCGTCAGCGGATTCAATCTTTAAACCTTAATATTAGAGATAAAAATATAGATTTATCAAAGACTATGACTGCTACCTGACTTCTACATGATCAAAATAATTATTATCTCTGAAATTTGTTTTGCAGAACAATTTAATTGGTATATTTTTTTGAAATTTGTTTTGTTTCGTATATGGTCTTCAGTATTTGATCTCAGTCGTTTTCAAATTAGAATGTCCTGGTCTGGTGTGCACGCAACTTGATCTTAATTTGAATCAGCGAAGTGAACGGGGCCGAATTTCTTCCTTTGGTTTCTACAATAATTCACTAACAATAGTAGTGGGGACTACATAGTGGACATATATATATATATATATATATAGATCGATGGATATTTATGTATATGTACTTGCAACCACAAATTTTTTTTTCTTTTCCTGGAATAGACAGCTACATGAAATTGTTACTAGTGTCGCTTGCCTGATGATGTTCAATTGGATGCTGAAATTAATAGATATAGATATTTAAGCTATATTTTGTAAGAAAGAAAGAAAAATAAGGTGAGAATACAGTCTAAGCGAGGGAAATGTACAAAAAGAGGACTTTTTTCTTATTGTGTTTGGTAACAAGGATTTGGAATCCCTCGCTCAATCCATTACCTCCTCTTTTTGTCCTATCAAACAACTATCGGTGCCAGAATCCTTTTACTAATCCCCTCACCCCTCGCTCTGCTAACAAACAAGCTCTTAAACTCATGCCTTGTAATGTCATTGGTTATATTAACTTGGATAAAGTCTAGCCAAAAATTAAAGTCGAAAATGACATGCCGTATACAGAATCTCAAAAGTAATTGGGCCTTACTCAATCAAGCCTATCACACAACTTGTAGATGTAGTCATTTCAAACTTTGCCTTGTCTTTGTCATTT